ACAAAACATCCTTTTTTTTTAAGATTAAAGGCTTAATCTGATAAGGTGGCTTTGTTTCACGGCATCAGTTCGAAGTATTGCACCAAATTACTTTTGTTCCAATAAAGCCAAAATTAGATAAATACTTGGCTCCTGGTTCAGCAAAGGAGCCACAGTGATGAATCATATGAAAAGATCACTAGATACTGACACAAGAGGCTCTCCATCGACAGTAATCTCTGATTTAGAAAAACGAAAGTACTGCATAGTGCTTTATTCCAATATGATTGCAACAAAAAGGGTGGTGAGACTGTAGCCTTCTGGAAACTTTATGCAGTGATGTTGGCTGGTGCTTCCTGCAGTGTGAGCCCAATGATGGGGGGAGTGCAGAAAATCTTTAAATTGGTCAGTGTGAATCTCTTATCTAATGTATAACTACGCTTTCCTATCTGAATTCTAACACTAAGTATTATTCTATTGTGAAGTTAACCTGTGTACACCCACGTAGGAGAGTTTCTTTTGTGCTAGTAACAGAAGGCTTTTAGTGAAAGGGAGCTGTTTCTCTTCTCTCCATGTGCCCCTTGCCTAAATGCTAGCTAGAGGGAAGTGGTGAACTGGAACTTCCTTTGAGGTCAAGAGGCTGCTGGGATGTGTTGCTGTAGTTATGTTAGCTTCAAGCAATGTGCTTAAGATATTGATGACCTGTAAATTGAAATTAAGGTAGCTACTGATTCATGTAAGAAAACGTTTATCTAGAATAATAACTGATGCAGGAAAGGTAGGGTTTTTTGCAAGCAATGAATACAATCCATAACCTGTTGTCAGACCTGGTGGGACAGTTAGAATAGGTTCCCATTGATTGAAATATTGAGGTCAGTGCTCTTGTCTTTATAAAATAATTCTAAGCTATAAATTGATATCAAGTGAACTGTGCTGGAATTACTTCAATAATAAACCTACTGTCAAACTTTTTTTTTTAATTTGGGTAGAATGCTTTCTGTTAGTTAATTACTCAAGATAAATACAACTTTTGTGTATAATCTCTCAAATGTGTGGAGGACTGCAAAATATCCAACCCAAGAGAGCTGTTGGTGTGGTGCTAATCATACTATATGGATCCTGATTGATTTGCTGAACTTGCATAACCTGGAAAAGCTGTCTTGGCTGTCTAAGATAGCTGGGGGGGGGAGGGGGAAAGACAATGCAAGAAGGTTCAGTGCTATAGGCAGTGTTTGTATGCCTGGCTTGCCTCTGTTGAAGATGAAGCAGTAAAGGGGCAGGTGACACACACCTGCTTTTATTCAGTGGCTTTCGAGAAAATCTCTTCCAGCTGGGTCTTCCTTGTGTTCTATTCAGGCCCCTTTATCAGCTCCTAACAGGACCTGATGGACATGTGAAACTGAGCTCTTAGAAAATCTTTTCTTTCTTTTAATTCTTTCTTCTACAGGCACATAAAGAGAATAGAATTTTAGATCTTACAATTGCATTATCCTTTTCTTCTGAGTGTATAAGTATTCTTCAGACCAGTCATAAGACACTAGAGTCAAAATACCAAAATTAGTAGCTTACTTCAAAGAGCTGTTTGAGATTACTTATCTTTGAATTAACTGTGGTCCTATACTTTTGGGTTTTTGAAAATCCTAGCAAAAATGGATTTTCATAGTAATGAAAATAGTATGGAAAGGACTTACTGATTGTAAGTTGAGTCACAACTCAGACTTAAATCTGTAGTGCTCAATTTGGTAAATTCTTGGGGGATTAGAAAAAATGTTGAAGCCTCTTCTATGAGTAATTACCTAATGCTGTCTAGACTGTACTGATTTCAAAGGCTTGACACTCTTGGCAGCTGACTTTTTTCCTAAACTAGGCTCCTAAATTATCTCAAAGCAGTAGTTAAGGCTCTTCCTTCCATGTTGGGTTCCCCCCAAATTTCTAAAAACTGCGTAGTCCTGCTGTTCACCTGATTATTTTTTTGCTCTCTAACTTCAGAATGAGTGAAGAATAGTAACCTTGCTCTTCCATGAGACAAATGGAACTTGAAGGGCAGGTGTGTGTTAAAAGGTAGATATTAGGTGATTTGTCTTGGTGTGTTTGTCACTGTGGCTGTAAAATGCACTTTACTGATGGCAAATATGCCAAACTTACCTATACCTACTAATTCAAGAATGGAGCCTGCTAACAGTTTTCTTCAAGTATATGAATACAATGAAGAAGAATGAAGCATTTAATCTGCAACAGAATATTGACTGTTTCTTGCAGCATGTTCGCAAAGCCTTTTGCTCATTACTAACCATGACTACTTCAAATACCAGGTTCCAATCTTGTTGTCTGGCAAGCTTTTTAGACAAACTTGCTTGTAATCAGGATATCTGATGTAGGATATTGTCGCTCCTTTTTTGGTTAGGGGCCTAAGACTTTAGGTAGACTAAAACTTAATTAGTACAAATTCATCGAGTTTTAATGCAAGTAGTATTAAGCAAGTACAATAGCCCAATGCTAAATACACTTGCCACAGTCTCCTGTGATTCCCCCCCCCAGGAGATACTAAAAAGCCTTACTTGAATGTATGGTTCGTCTAATACTTGGGTATATAGGAAAGGAAATACTCTACTTTTAGTGCTAAAAGACAGTATTGTTATCAAAAGCTGTAGTGACCTGAAGGACTGGTGATACTTACGTAGAACTTATCTATGGGGATAAGCCTACTTTAATATTTGCTCTGTCAGATAGTAAAGATATCTGTGCTATTAATTGGGCCAGTGTCTAAAGCCATAAGATAATTTTATGGATACTGATTTCTGTGGGGTTTTTTAAATATAAATCTTGTTTCTGTGAAGGATTTATCTACCTTTTGGCAGAAATATGATTCTCAAACACCTGTGTGAAATTCGTATCACTAAGCAGATTTGATTGTCAGTGTTGTGACAAAAGCAAACAGTGCTTAGAAGAGCTTTTCCTTTGAGATTTACAATAGAATATCAAGTACTGTAGTACAGCAGATCAATAAAATATTGTTAGGTAAGCTTGATTCATTGTGCCTAACCATACCTTCTCTTAATATGGCCCAAGTGTTGGTGAATTAAAACTTCTGAAGTCACCTCTAAGCTTTTGGCTTTTAAACTCTGGTGTAGTAGAAAAAATTATGATATGAAGGCCAGATACTGATCAGATAATCCTTAGGGACAGCTAGCTGAAAGCCACAGACTACTTTCTGCAGGGCTTTTGATTAAAGAATTAAAGTTTTCCTGATGTTTAAGATTTGCTACTCTGCTGTTAAGCTGTTTGTTACAAGTTGGCTGGAGTGTTAAATACTTCTAACATGCTGTCTGCAACTTTTTCTGAAGTTGACTTAATGCCACCTCATTGTAGACTGAAGGGGTAGCATTAATGCTTTAGTTACGTTGAATACAGTGGTCATAATTATTAGTTCTTTGCTATCCGCTCTTGGAAAGTTTCTGAGTATTTTTCTTTCCTCTGGTCTGTCTTCTCTCTGTCTATCAGACTTCGTGGAAAGCTTTGGGGGAAGGTACAATTTACTTCCAAAAAAAAAAAAAAGCTTCTTGAATCATCTCACCATAGGTCATACAGATGCCAGAGATGATGTTAGGGAAGTACCTGAAGAGCAGGAGCTGCTCTAGCAGCAGAGTGTTGGATGACTTTAACTGTAATGCAGGCAGCACTTCAGAGAGGCACTTTGACAGCAGTTTAGGCTGGTGTAGATTGAACTACCACAACCTTCCTGAGTGTACTGGTTGCTTGTGTAGTTAAGCACCGAGCTGGTTCAAGCAGCTTATCTGGCCCATGACACTTTCCACATACACATGACTTTGAGCACTGACTAGTCATTGAATTTACAGAGAGCTCATACTGAGCTGCTACAGTCCAGCCTAAAATAATCTGGGATGAATGTGTCATAAAATACCACTGAGTACTTGTTCGTATCCAAATGCAAGCTGAGGTGAAGCTGAAAGGAAAACTGAGTGTAATTTAAGGCAAAAGACAAAAGTTCACCCTTGGCAACTGAATTGTCTGATGTTAACCTGTTACTGCTAGTCTTCAGAACGGGGGGAGCAGCTTCCTAATAAATCAACTCCTTCAGACCCTGTTCTAGCCTATTAAACTTCTATTAAATTACACCCCTTTTTAGCCACTGAATTACACACTTGGTAACAGAGGTAGTGTTTGAAAATGTGGATCATGCAGGCTTGAAGAAGAACAGACATACTCTTGAGTTACTGAAATTAGACTAACCTTGCAATATGCTCTGGTCCTGTAAAACGTTTTCAGAAGATAATGTAGTGGAATTCTTAGAGCAGCTTGTGTGCTTATTCTGAGGATTTTCTTATCCTGCCACTTGCTTTCGTGTTGTGTTAGCTGAGAAGAATATCACTGAGCTTTCAGGAACAGTGTCTGGGGCAGGGGGGGGGAACCAAACATCAAAACCAAACAAAAAAGCTCCAAAAAAGCCCCCAGAAACAGATTGGGAGAGTTGTGGGCTCACTTCAGCAAAAAAAGGGAAAATATACAGACAAGGAAACTTGCAGAATACTAGTGTTCTGAGACTTTTAGCGATAAACTCAAACTACTTTGTTTTGTTCTAGTAGCTCACTAATAGTGGACTACTTTGCCTATTTCCTGCAGATTAAAAATCCTGTTAGGCTGGTTCCTACCCAAACTTCATGTACTTTCGTGAAATCCTTCAAGTTCAGCGTAGACTTATCAGCATTGTGAATTCAGACTCTTTCCACACAACTCTCTTATCCTTCCCAAATCGTTCAAAACTACAGCAAAAAGATATAGTAAATGATTGGCTTAAGCCAAATTTATTTAGAATAGACTCCTGGCAAACTGTAGTGAAATGACTAACTGGCTTAGTATTGACTCAGCCTTCTGGCTTAAGTAGTATTATGATCCAGAAATCTGTCTTTTCTTGATTCAGATGTTTTTATTAGTAAATTTAATCTGAAGTCAAATGAGATATTGGTGTGTGAAACTTAACTCTAATCTGTTTTGCTTTCCAGGCATCTTTTCTTACAAAGAAGCTAAATATTGGTGGGAAAAGAGTAAACCTTGCAATATGGGTATGTTTACTTTCGTATTTTCCCTCCCCTAGCTAAATAGAATATTTTTGTGAAAAATTACTTAGGCTTACTAGAACTCAAATGTTAGGCACTTTCTAATAAAGTAAAATTTCAAAGTATTTGGAGGTTCTTGAAGTATTGTTTGCTTTGTCTTAAATGCTAACGAGTGTATTTTAAATACAGGATACAGCTGGTCAAGAAAGATTTCATGCATTGGGGCCAATCTACTACAGGGATTCTAATGGCGCTATTCTAGTGTATGATATAACAGATGAAGACTCTTTTCAAAAGGTACTGGACAGATTTTTACCTCTATGCAAGATGTAAACTGATTGAAAGATAATCTGTGATATGAGTGGGTAAATGGGAATCTTCTGTTTTTTGCAATAGCAATATATTACATCTGCAAATTTAGATCATATAATGGAAGAATACGCCTTATTAGTATTCTTTTGAAGGCTGACTTTTTCAGTCTACTGAAGTTCTAGCAGGGTTATGCAAAGAACACCAGAGAATTAGATGTGTGAGTTACCTGTGATAGGCTATAAACATAAACTGGTACTGTTGTGATAGTATGCAATACTGATCTCTACTGTATAAACCAAATTACTAAAAGATATTAAGTGACATGACCTTTTACAGATCTGAGAACTCTGAAATTGCAATACATGATAGTGGAAACATTACTTTCACAGTGATAATAGATATTTGGACTTCAAATCCTCATCAAAACCTGAAATTCGATGACTAATTATTTGATCAATTAGTTGATCAGTCTGAGCAGGTGAGGTTTTTTCAACACTGTGTCAAATCAGTGCTGTCACTTTACAGGATGTTCCAGCTGAAAACTGGTGACACCCTTTCCTAAGTGAGTTTGTCTCCGATTAATTTATGGCGAAACCAGTAGGACTTCTGTGTAGAGGAGTAAGAAATTGTGGTTGTATGGGCAAGGCTTAGGTTAGCAGTGATAGAAATAATATAAGGGTATAGTTCCACAAATAGCTTAAGTAATTTAAATAGTCTGATGTAGGGCAAGTAAAGCACTTGTGCTAGCAGTTAAACTCTTGTCCCCCATCTGCAGAATTGTGATGACTTGTGAGTATGACTTCGGCTTGTGCTGAGCTCTACCTAGTAAAATTCTGTGATACCAGAACACTTAAATTCTTAGGGGGGGGGGAGGAGAAGGTTAATTTGCAGAAGTTACTGCATAACTACCTCTGTATCAGTATCCTAACTATTTATAGGTTCTTGAAGTGATTTCCTGTCTTCACGACCTAAATTCCCTTAGAATAGCAGTCCCTAAGTCAATGCAGTGATCATACAACTTCAAAGCATGACAACAGAATTGGTAATAGATGCCTTACCATCAGCTGACTTGACACTCTTGTCCCATCTGTTCTCTCAGGAAACAAAACATCTGTTATAATCTAACCTGAACAACTCAGGTTACCTCTACCTTTAAAGTACCATTTATGATCTGTCAGTAAGTGCCTGTTGATAAAAGATCTCATTCCTGACCTAAAGTGGCCAATGCAGTGAACTTGTTCTTTGGAGTGGGGCTAACATGAGTGTGGTGAGTTATATTTCTGCAGTAATTTAACTGTTTTATCTAAGTCATTTGCTCTTAATTTCAGCTGCAAACTATTTTTTTAACAAGAGCCATGCGTAGCTATCTAAAGAATATTTTGTCCATCTATGTTGCTCTAAACATGTTTGTTTCAAGTTTAGAGTAAGCAGTTAATGAAGAAAACGGGTCAGTTCTGCAATGCCTAAGCTAGTAGTATATCAAGTGAAAATAAACTTACCTCTGTTCTTTTTGCAGGTAAAAAACTGGGTTAAGGAATTAAGAAAAATGTTGGGAAATGAAATCTGTTTATGTATAGTAGGTAAGTCTTTTAACACATGATTCTAATGACTGAATCAGAAATGCTTCTTTTGATTAATAGCATCTTCCAAACACTGCTTTGACAGCTTGTACATGTGAAGAGAAAAGCTTATGTTAGTTTTATATTTAAAATTCAGTTGGAGCTAGAAGTTTCAGTAGATCACACTGAGGAAGACAAGAGTTAGTTTCAAAAAACAAGCTGTTTAATGATACACCATGTCAGAAGTGCATGGTACAGACACCTGCAGACTGTAGTTTAGCAAAGAGAAACATAAACCTCAAATGTGTATTATACTTCTTGCAAGTACTCAAATGTCATGTTTTTACTGTTCTCAGTGGCATAGACTGGATGCTTGTCTGTTTTCATAATCAAGTGCTTGGGGGTGGAATGAATCTTAAAGCTTGGATATTTCAATGCAAACAGAATGCGACCGAAATACTGTGTTTAGGTTTAAAATCGGATCTAGTGATTAAAACACTTTAAGGAGGATAGATGTATGGATATTCTACAAAAACTACCTCTGCAGCTCAGATAAGCTGCTAATAAATTACAAAAGAAAAGCAGAAGGCTGAATTGGTGGCTTATACAGAGGTACTTGGCTATCCCGATCTCTCTACAGAAGTAGGACTTCATCTTCATTGCCTGTAAATGCTTGAGTGAAAGGGGATTCTTTAATCGTATCGTTGTGCTCCAAATCTTTAATCATATCGTTGAGACCTGTGTAAGAGTCGGTCTTTACTGGGACAGCTTGTAAGAAAATGATGGGGTACAGCAATTATATGACTGCTTTCTTTTGGGTAATTTTTGCGTACAAAGACTTGAAAGATTAACTTGTTTCCAACAGGTAACAAAATAGACTTGGAAAAAGAGAGACATGTTTCAGTGCAAGAAGCAGAAACGTAAGTCACACCAATTATAAATAGAAACAGTCATTGCAGAATTATGCCGGAGTAATAAACTTGTGATGCTGTTAACAACTGGCAGGCATAAACCAGCAGTGCCTAGCTAGCTGCTATGTTAAGTGTTCTGTTAGTATCCGAGTCCCAGAATGTCCTTACTGACCAAAGTGTAACTTGAGAGTTGTACATGATTAAAGTCAACATTTGCAGCTTAAGTGCATTTCTAGACGTGAAACTTTATTTCATCTAGTATTTTTCATCAATCATCACAGTTTTAACCACATAATTCCATTTTTACATTAAATCAGCATGTGTAGTTTAACTCTGAACTCGGAATAAAACCTCTTGTGATCATCTTTTTGCTTCATGTAAAGTGGTTTAGAAAGATTGAGTCCTCTAGTACAATGAAGTTCTGTGTCTGCATTCCTACAGGTATGCTGAATCTGTTGGAGCAAAACATTATCATACTTCAGCTAAACAGAACAAAGGAATTGAAGAACTGTTTCTTGATCTTTGTAAAAGTAGGTATTATCTAGTTTGTTGGTAAAGAGCTCATTCACAAAATGCTCAAGGCTTCAGAATGCTTAAAACCGTATACAAAAGCCTTAATCTAAACTATTACTAAGAACTGACTTCATCTGAGTCGACTTCAAGCCACTTGTGTACTGTAACAGCTATGGAAGCTTGATGTATGGATGCTTACAATATTGCAAAATCATGCTGTACTCCAAAAATGTCTTTCTGTCATTTGTTGGAGCACTGACTGCTGTTTCACTCAGCATGTGTAAATAGTGACCTCGTAACCTCAAATCAAACTTCATGTGACTGGTCTCGCTATTGCCTGCTTCAAACCCTCTGTTTCAACTTCTTTCAAAATTCTTCTCAAATGATATCAATTACAAATCATAAACTCGAAGTTGTAATGATGCAAATTTACAAAGCGGTCTAAGCAAATGGTAAAGGTCACGGAATGTAGGATAAAAAGGTTGCAATGCAGGGAAGTTGTCCTACTCACTGTGTTCTTATGATACAGGAATTTAAGTAAAACTTCACCTGCATGTCTGAAGAGTAGGTTGGGGTTTTTTTTGGGGGGGCTGGGGTGGTATATGTGTGGTATGTGGGGTTTCTTGTTTGTGTTCTTTTTTAACAGAATGTTCTTGATATGGGTGGGTAAATCTAGCTTTTAAACCCCAGAACATCTGAGGTCTCCCTTAGTCAGCAGGAGCTGCTGTATGTTTGGTGCTTTAGGAAGATTTAAATATGTTCTTGCGGCTATGCCATGTGATACCCCAGTACTTACTTCTGCATAATAAATAGGAGACCCAGTCTTGCTGAACTTTGTGCATGTAACTCAAATAGATTAAGATCTCAGTCTTGTGTAAAAATGCAGTGGAATATAATCTAATACATTTCTTCCTTTACAGGAATGATAGAAACTGCTCAAGTGGATGAAAGAGCACGAGGCAATGGTTCCAGTCAGTCAGGAATAGCAAGGCGAGGTGTACAGATCATTGATGATGAGCCACAAGTACAGAGCAGTGGAGGGTGCTGTTCTTCTGGATAATTATAAAACTGTGCATCACTGCCCTCTCAATATGAAGACTGCCATATTCCAAGTCACGCATTCTTTACCAATGGAGTAATAGAATTAACAGTATTTAAAAATAATCACATGTAACACTGCAGAGACCTTAAGTGCTAAACTAGTGGCATCTGTGACCAGAGAATTGGCATTTTCTACAGTGGTTAACAAAGCAATTACCAATGGCCTTTTTACATATTTTTCTTTAATGAGGAATAATATGCATGTAGAAAAGACCTACTTAAAGGCTTCATTTATATTCTTTTAAATCAGATCATTATTTAATAACTTATATACATTGTTGTTGGAATGGTATACGTTTTTGCAGCTCTTTGTATTTTGTGGTAGATTGAATTGTATCACTTCTAAAATGCAAATTGATTTTTTTTTTTTAAATTAGCAGATATCTGAAGTAATATTTTTGCAGGGCCTCCACAAGCCTATAACTGTCAACTACTTTGATATATTCTGTTCATCCTGTATGCCAAGCTGGTAAAATACATTGTAAATTACATATTAAATATTTTATCTGCTTTTGCAATTGCAGGTGCAGAAATATGTACTTCAGTCTTGTCAGTGATTGTGAAGTGAATAAGTCAGTGAAAGATGCAAGCTTTTCATGTGTACTGTTGAATTGCTCATTCTATTCCCCCTACCTGAAAACAGCTTTTTTTGGTACATTCATAGCTACAGCATTTTTTTTAAGCCTTTTCTGGCAAGCAGCAGTATTTAGAGTATCCCCTCAGTGGGAAGAGAATGCTTCCTTAGACTGCTGTTTAACATTGAGGTGTTTGACTCCCAGCTAAAACAGTTGGCGCATGCATATATCTTGCCTCTGCAGTTACTTTGGCCTCTCAGAATATCCCCAGAAAGTCAAAGGAACTTTAGCCCTCATCTATCTGGAAGCCAGTAGACCAGATGCATGGGAAACTCTTAAGCTGTATTAATACATTTGTGTCCCAAGACAGCATTATAAACTATTAATGACCATAATTTCTTTTCCCCCTGTATTGCAGGGCTTGAGTGAACAAATGAATTGGCATTAACTAGAACTGCTTCTGATCTGGAGTGATTAAATAGACAATATGAAACTTGCCAGATGTAATTGTAACTTTGGGGGTACTAGACAGAACTGAACTTACTCCTGACTTGCTCTTTCTCTTGTAAAGCGTTTTGAAGCCCACTTAAGTTTTGGGAGGAGGGTTTTCAGAAAAAGTGTATAAACTATCACAAAGGAACACAAATGGTGGTAGCTGAAACTTCAAAATGTTTTGTGCTCTGACTTTTTTTTACTTAAGTTGTCATGCTTGGAAAAAAAACAGTAAAGGTGGTGTCTATGACAAAATAGAATATTTCTTGGCCTTCCTTTTTCTGAAGGGTAGAATTAGTATTGCATATGAATGCATTGAGTGGTGTGGGTATGTTCCAATGCACAAAAGGAGTAGTAACTAACTAATCAGTCTGATATATGAGAAGTGTGCTGTCTTCAATCTGATTTTTCTCTGAAATAATAGATGGCTTTGATACAGACTGGTCCTAGTGCACTTTCTCCCTTTCTGCCTAAACTGTGGTGTAGATACTTTTTCTTATGCTACCATTACAGTGCTCTTCTGACATGATTGTATGCATGATGGACAAAGGTGATCTGTTCATGCCAGTGAAGATAAAGTTTCTTGACTGTACAGAGCTTTGGTGTGAATCTAAAATTCATGATTTGAATCTAAAATTCATGATTATATGTGTGTATATGTAGCAACACCATTAAGTTAACTTTTTCGTATTGTAACTAACAGTGAGCTTTGCCAACGTTGAAAAACAGGTCAGTTTGATCTAGAACCAGTACCTTCAAATCCATACACTTAGATGAAAGTCAGTCTTGTAAGTGATACAATATTGATATGAGGAGTGAAACTGGCAAGACTATCTTCAAGACTGGAATCTCCTCATAATAGGAGTTCGAGATTTTTTGATTCAAATTTTATTTTTTGCAGAAATGGAAAACTAAACAAACAACCCAACCTCAACTAGACTTGATAAGCATGAGGGCTTACCTACACCAGAGCATATGCGTTGTCTCCAGAGCAGAGCTTTCTCCACTTCATTGAAGTGGACGGATGCAGTCTGGTCTGGAAACTAATACTAGGTTGTTTACCCAAGAGAATGTTATGTTCAACTACTTTGAAGTAGAAGCAGTGTGTAGAATATATCTTTCTGCCTGCAGCTAAAGAGTTTTTCTTTAGTGTGTTCTGTGATAAGGGCATTCTGTGTGACTTCTGTCAGTTACAAAACTAACAAAGCCATGTTGATACTAACTCTTAAGTCTCTTAACAAATCTAAAACTATTACTACTGAAAACTTAGGTGGGGGTAAGGAAGCTTACAATTTTGTGTGATTAAAAAGGTTCTGGTTGCTATTAGCAAAGTATTTTTAAAAAAATTCTCAGAAGTTACTTTTCTTACTTAAGCTAGAGCATGAAAAATACTCTCCGGAAACCTTCCTGTCTAAGCTGCAGTTTGGTTGGACTTTATTTATGGAACTTAAAAGCTGTGCTTAGCGGGGTGTTATTATATTACCTTACAAATGAAGTATAGCTTCATGAAGTCAGGGAAGTTGGTTTCCAAGACACAAGTAAAAACATCATGGATTGTTTAGACTGATTAACTTAAGACTTCAGCTATTCATTGTTAGGAGACAAAATACAACAGTTCCAGGAAAAAAGCCTCTTTATTGAAGGTATCTAGAGTATTCTTTGCATTAAATATATAGGAAAGCACAGATAGCTTGGTTTTCTATATTTGAGCAGGATCTTACTTAAGTAACCTGGTATTACTACTGTGTGGCTTGGTTTTCAAGAGTCTTGCATTTGCTGGAATCTACCTAGATTGCCTGGTTTGTCTGTCTTAAGGAAAACTGTTTTCTTGTTGCTAACTTCTGTTGCTGAAAACAAGCAAGCTATTTTTCATTCTTCTGAGAAGAGTGCAAGAGAACAATTACGTCTGTCTTCAGAAAGTACTTCTATTGTGGGATAGCGAGAACCAGCCAGACACCTGCTACAGCATGTAAGTCAACATTGAGCACGCTTCCTCAGAGTAAATCTTGACAAAGATTACTCATATACTGTAATAAAAAAAGTCTTACTACAAATACCTTTCTAAAACAACTTTAAGTACTTGCTCACGTCTTGATGCTGCTGCTATGATTACTTGAGCTACCTATGAAACTTTCACTTGCTGAAATGAAATCCAACAAACCAAGGTCCAAACACTTTAATGCAGCAGTATGTATCTCTATTAGGAGTTATTTATGGACACTGTCTTATTGCACTTAGACTATAGTTATGAAAAAACCAGACTGATTCAGACAAGGACGCTTTAATAAATTCAGATGTGTAGTACTTAAAGATGAGTGTAACTAGCTGTAAAGATTGGGGGCGATGACTTCATCTGGTTTGCAGGGATCTCGCATATGGTTCCAAGATGGGGACATCCAATGAATGTCCAGATGAACTGTATTAGCTGGTCTCTTGAAGCAGTCAAGTAATGGCGTGTTGCAATGTTGGATGCTGTCAGAAAAAACAGTTTAAAGAAGGGAAGAGTAATGGGAGTCCTGCTTGAGGACAAATGAAGGTCAGGAATCTCCATGAGCTGAAAGGAGTTCAGTAGTATGAATAATAGAGTATGGGAATAAGAGAGTCAGGTGGAGCCAGCCACCTCTTTGTTATTTTTCTGCTGTTTGTGGAGGAAAAAGAAGTAGAAAGAAAAAGGCAAGTAGGAAAAACTGAAGGTGCTGGTAGAACTGAAGGTGCTGGTAGTGGGCTGCTGAGTGAGGTGCTGAGTTAACCATTTCTTGGTGGAGTTGCTAGCATGTCTTCTCAGCAATGGTAGTTGCCTAATTCAAGACTTATTCTAAGATGACTTCCTATGTTGTTTTTCCTTCTGTGAAATACCATTTTTTGCTTCACTAAAGAGAATACAACTAACTTTGAACAGGCTTTCAGACACAATAATAACCTACTTATAAATTAGCATATTCTAATCAAGTTTTAAGCTTTTATTAACTGACTTTGTTAATCTTAGTTTGCATCAAAGCTTAGGATTTCTTTTCCTGACAAGCCAGGAAATATATTTTGCAGTGAGGATACACTATAATTGTGTCAAGGAGTTGCAGATGAAGACCAAGATCCTTGGCACTAGTTGCTGTGCAAGCTCAACAAAAGCAGCCCCAAAACTAGCTCTCTTTTAACTGTGCTGGGCACTGCTGCTCATATTACTCTCTGGGGGATTCTGCTCAACACCAGGATTTTTCCTCTGTTTAGGACAAACCTGTGCATCTCAGTGATGTAGCTGTCTACTGAATTAAGGCTTTTTCTATCAAATAATAACAATGTATACTCTTCCCTCTTGCATTTTTGGAGCTGTCATTGGCCACTGTATTGAGCAGAATGAGATGAAGAAATGGTTTTGAGAGTTGTGGAGAATCTGGAAGGTTTCTTGTCTTGAGATGGCTTGAAAAGTGAGAATCTATGAAACTGTCACCATTATGACAAAGGTATTATTCTGTCCAAGATAACTGGAACTGTTTTGGCTTAGAGAAAGTTGTAATCTGATTAAAATGATAAATTGCTTTACTTCCAAAATGAAAATTTAATTCAAGCTGATCTCTTTTGATTCTTAATTTTTTTCCAAGACTTAAGTTTACCAAACTTGGCCAAAACATTGATTGGCATGTGCTACAGCCCTAAATAATGTTTATGACTGTAAGGAGGGAGCTGTGTACTTATTAATATTCCACTGGATGGTTTGGAGCTTTGATTGTATTTATCCAATACCAGGATGTTGAAAGACAGACTGCAAAAATAATTGTTTCCATCTATTTCCACTGCTTTGTCCACTCAGGCAAGCAGCATGACCTGATGCAGCTGCAGAGTGAATGTGAAAAGAGGGCTTCTCTTCCTGCTTGTTGGCTGCACTGATCCTCGCTGTTAATGAATTACTACCACAGGAAACTTTCTGTGCTAGAGATCCCCCTGTTCAAGAAAGGAAACATATACGTTCTCTGCTTCTCTAGCTCTTCTAGACAGTGATTACAACTGCAGTAATACCCAGTTCCTCTCAGTTTGAGAACATTGTTTTTTCTTAAGAGGAGCTTTTCTTATTTCTTGAAGCCTTTTTTTCAGTGTATCTAGTCTCACTGATCTCTCAAAAGGGGTTTTAATACTCATTGTAGGTCACCCAGAAGCAATGCAATTTGAAAGTATGACCACAAAGGATGATGAGTAGCAGTATTGCAACAATCTTCTCCAGCAGTTGGTCATATTCTGCCTCCAAACCAGTGAAGAGAGAATATTGGAAGCTTAATGGTGAGTCCTTGCTACCTCTGGTACCTGACTCCTAATTCTTGGATATTGAAGTGACTTAGAAGAAATCCAAATCAAGATGATTGGAGCGAGCAAGAACTACTTTCTCATCTGTTGCCAAGTAGTTGATATCCTGTGACAGATCCAAACTCAAGTAACAGATCCCTTTTGAGGGATTTGTGTTAAAACTGTTAAAATTGCAGAGCCTTCAAGTTAACCATCACTCCATTCTGAAAGGTCAGCAAATTTGGGGCGCTCAGTGGAAGAGAACAAGTAGTTTCTCTTTTTCAGAAGAGGAAACTTAAACTGCCTAATCAGGCTTTTCTTAGTGGAAAGAGAAGAGGAAAGCATTTGATACCTAAAGATTTTGCTCTCAGTGCTCTTTGATCATGCAGGCATTATAATGATTGTCTTACTGGATTTTTCTCATCAGATAAGCTCATCAATCAAACAGAATACTTTTCTTTGAACCCAGAGAAAATGTTAGCAGGGCAAAAGCCAACACTGAAAAGGACACAGCATTTTTAATATCGGGTAACTTGACATTGTCAAATGCTTCAGGAATATTCTATTTGGCATTTGTGGATTAAAGACATTTCGAAAAAAATACTAAAAAATAGTATCTAGCAGAGG